GCTTACCTCAATCATCAGGAAGAGGAGGAGGAAGAAGTAGTTGATGGTAAGTACCACGCCCACCAATTATTTACTGACCATGCCCATTGATTAATTAATGTAGACGAATACGAGATGACCGTGAGAATCCCTCGAAGCAGCGGAAGGAAGAAAGGCGTGTCACCAGGACAACCAACGAAACATGACTCAAAAATATGCGGACGAAAGAATGTGAGAAATATGGAGAAGGTATGGAAATTGCATTTAATAGTCGATTACTCTCATCATTATTATTACATTATTTGTAGTGTTTTGTGTTGTTATAATTGTTGTTGTTGTTGTTGTTTATAGTTTCCTCCTGATTTCCCAATGGGAGACGTTCAGCCGGGACTCTGTCTAGACAACAGTGTATTTAACGTGTTGAAGGAGCACTCGATGAGAGAAGAGAAACAGAGTCAACGTCACCATGAGAAGAAGGAGCACTCGACTCAAGAGCACGTACTGGATCCAAAGACAAGACTGATGCTTTTCAAAATGGTGGACAGCGGCAAACTGGGTGAAGTAAACGGGTGTCTCAGTACAGGGAAAGAGGCAGCTGTGTATCACGCTGAAGGAGGAGGAGAGTAAGTAGAGAGAGAGGGAGGGAGGGAGGCAAGGGAGCTGCTGCTGTATGAAATTATAGTTAATAATTATGACTATTTTTGATATTAAATTTTTATAATTGCGAAATTTTTTTGCATAATTTTAACTAGCAAGTGAGCTTATTTTTTTTTTTTTTTTTTTTTTAATTTTTAAACAGTCAATTTTTAAGTATTTAGTGCCTCAAAATATGTTTTATTATTCTACAGGTTGGAGGATGGTACACCAGTGCCTGATGAATGTGCTATCAAGATATTCAAGACGACACTCAATGAGTTCTTTAGACGTGACAAATACATCAAGGAAGACTATCGGTTCAAGAACAGGTTTGGGAAGCAGAACCCAAGGAAGATTGTGAGACTGTGGGCCGAGAAGGAAATGCATAATTTGAAAAGGTATGACATTAATTTATTTAAAATTGTATCAGAATCTGGTGTACAGGCTTTTTGGCCAAATTTCATGAAAAGGACTAGGAGAGAATTCTCCATTTTTATAATTTTTTCTGGTACATATACATGTTCTTATGTTGTATGTCAAGTTTGAACTGATTCCGATCAAGTTTAGATTTTTTTACGAATTTTTGCAAATTTTGTTCCTATAACTGATAATTATTTCCCTCTCTCTCTTTCCCTCAATAGATTACATTCCCATGGTATACATTGTCCTAAGGTCGTACTATTAAAGAAACACGTGCTAGTGATGAGTTTCATTGGGAAGGACCAGATACCTGCCCCTAAACTCAAGGACTCACAACTCACTCAAGATCAACTCAAAAGCGCCTACCATCAATGCGTACAGGTAACTAGTGGGTGTGGCCTGTTACCAGGGGCAACAATAAACTTAGATCTACCATGTGTACATACATGTATGTCTTTATTTCTCTCTCTTTTTTCTCTACAGACGATGGAGAAAATGTATAACGATTGTCATCTTGTCCACGCTGACCTCAATGAGTTCAACATGCTTTGGTTTGAAGGACGTATCTACATCATTGACGTGAGCCAATCCGTAGAACCCTCTCACCCTCACGGACTAGAGTTCTTACTCAGGGACTGTAAGAATGTCTCTACTTATTTCTCTAAGAAAGGGCTGGCCGAGACTCTCTCGCATCAAGACTTGTTTAATAAGATAACTGGGCTAGGGATTAGCGCTGTGGATGATCAGGAGTTTCTAACACAAGTAAGGGAGTGAGTACTGTAGTTACAGTGAAAGACTAAGAATATTGTTAATAAATAAAGTGTATAGTGTTCTTTTTATAGTCAAACAGAGAGAGAGAGAAGGGAAGAGAGAGCTAATTTGATATTTGGATGATTTTATACGAACACTTTCTCCCTATCTCCTTCTATATATTTAGATACGTGCTTACACACAAAGGCAACAGCTGCTTGATGTCATTTATGACAAGAAGGAGCCCTATCCTTTCGACTTCTTCTTTGAAGAGACGATGAGCAGCAGACAAGACGACAGCGGATCCATTGGAGTCGACGTGAAAAGAGGAAAGAAGGACTTGAACGAATCGAAGAGCTCAGAGTCAAACGAAGAGGAAGTGTTATCAGAAAAGGAAGAGGAGACTGATAGTGATAGTACTGATGAAGACTGAGTCTTTCAACATTACACACAACAAACATAAATCAAATAAAGCTACAGATATATATCTATATTATATTTTATCTTTTATTATTACATTACGCTATTGTATGCAAGTTTAGCAAGTCATTTGTACTTTTCATTTAATTTTATTGTAAAATTTCCTCCATTTTACTATTAGTATAATGTGAGTTTAAATGCATCATAACTTCAGAATTTGAGCTCGGAATCAGCTCAAACTTTCTACACAGCATAAGGACATCGATATGTATCAGAAAATGTAATAAAAAATTGGGGTGATTTTGGAGCCATTTTTTAGAAAAAACCATGGGCTATAGCCTTGGGTATTTTTCAAAAATTGGCCTATTTTTTTAAATGGCTATAATTCGAAAAATATTTGTCGGAATCATCTCAAACTTTCTACACAGCATAAGTACATCAATATGTATCA